TAGATATTTGTACTTGAAATAAGGCAAAAATTTCAGCAATAAAAGCAATTTTTGCAGCGTGAATGAATGAATGAGGTATTTATACATTGCTTACACTTTAAAAAGGGGGAGGAGACTCTAGGTTTACTGAAGAAAACCTGTTCCAGACCAGGTTAGGTTCACAGAGTAAGTTACTATGGTAACTTACCGAGAGGTTTAGTTTTGTCTTTTACTGGAACCGAAAACCCTGATTTTCCCATCTCAGGGTAAGTCAACTCAGAGTTCAAGTTTTAACTCAGAGTTTGTTGAAACTCCTTTCTGGAACACACCCCTGCACACTTACAAAACCAATCCACGCTTGTAGTATTTGCATTCTTCAGTTCCTCAGGGTGTTATGTTACCTTCCTTCTCTCTTAGTTTCAGACTCTGGGATTGTTTTCAGCTGTAGGTTAAAGCAGGGGTTTTCAGTAGTTGTCACAGACCCTCACACACATGATGATCCTCATGCGAAGGACCCCCATCATAAAATTTAAAAGACCGGTGCCCGGTTGCATAAAGCACCTTAAGTGTAATTTTCCCTTAAGATCACCCTTAAGTTTCCCTTACACTTAAGGGTGTTGCATAACATATCCCTTAAATGTTACTTAAGGGTTTCTTTAGATGAAAAGTCATAAACCCTTAGAATTTCTCTTAAGTATCCCTTAAAACCCACTAAGTGTTGCATAAAGCCCCTTAACTGTCATTTTCCTAAGAATAACATAAGGGTTGGGAAATATCACCTTATTGTCTTGTATAAAGGCCCAATTTATAGGCCTGCTGTGAAAAATTAATATTATAAATTTGTCCAAATATTATTTGGAAAATATTTAGTTTCTATTCAGTTACATTACTATGTTTAGTCTATTTATTTATTTATTTAGACAAATAATTTTATCATTTTTAAATTAGTTATTTAAATCAGATTATTTTTAAAATATTTTTATTTAAATCAAATATCTGGTTTTAATATTTTTATTTATAATATTTTGTATTTAAATCTAAATATTTTGTTTCTATTCAGTTACATTATTACATTTAATCAATTTGTAGTCTATTCATTTAGACTAAAATAATTTTATAATTTTTAAATTAGTTATTTAAATCAGATATTTTTAATCATTTTTATTTAAATCTAAATATCTAGTTTCTATTCAGTTACATTGTTTCATTACATTTTTTTTATCATTTTATTTAAACCAGATTTTATTTTTATAATTTTCATTTCTATTTAAAATATTTTAAATGTAAATATTAAGATTCTATTCATGTAAATATTAAGTTTCTATTCATTTACATTATTACATTCAATCATTTTTAGTCTATTTAGACTAAAATAATTTTATAATTTTTAAATTAATTATTTAAATCAGATTATATTTTTTAATAGGCTATGTTTTATTTAAATCAAATATCTGGTTTCTACTCCGTTACAATATTACATTTAATCTTTTTATTTATAATCATTTTATTTAAATCAGATTTGATTTATTTTTATAATTTTAATTTGTATCTCAAATCTTTTACATTTAAATAATTTGTTTCTGCTCAGTTACATTACATTTAATCGATTTATTTTTTAGATTAAAATAATTTTATCTAAATCAGATTATATTATTATATTTTTCTATTATACATTATATTTTAAAAATCTTTTTAATCATTTCTAAATATTTAGTTTCTATTCAGTTACATTATTACATTTTTTAATAATGTAACTGAATTATTTATATCTTATATTGACATATTTATTTATAGCATTATTTCAAATCTAAAATCTTTTAAATCAATTTTTTGTTTCTATTCAGTTACATTTAATCTATTTTTAAGTTGACTTGAGAAAGCCAACTTACTGAAATCCGACTTAAAGGGTCATATGATGCGATTTCAATTTTTCCTTTCTCTTTGGAGTGTTACAAGC